GGCAAGCACTTATTCTACTGAGCCATCTCCCTGTCCCTGAAAATTATTTGGGTAGTGACTACAAGTTAAATTAAATGGAAACCACAAGACTGATATATAGCTGGTTGGTCTGGGTGATCTCCAAGCAAATACATTCTAAAACTTTTTCTGGTATATTTTAATAAATAGTTTTATAAATATATACAAAGGACTTTGGATGCAGACACTAAGCCTAATCTAGACTTCATTGCTGTGATAAAAGTGGGCAGAAGGAGGGTGTATTATTGTGTGTGTTGTCAGGGTTGCAGTCTGTTTAATTTACTTCCTTGCTCTTGGGTTTTGAATGAAGCGAAACATGGCAGAGCTTGGCAGAGGAAAGCTGTTAAGCTCATAGGGAGAAGAGGAAGCTGGAGAGAAAGGCCCTGAGAAGACCTCTATTTCCTTGACCCATGACCTATTCCCTTCAACTAAACTCAGCATTTTTGTAGCCTAGGCTGTTTTGTTTAGATGCTGCCTCACCCTCCCACGTGCTGGGATTATTGCTGCTTGCCACCACTCTCTGGCTTTAGGCACTACTTCCTAATGGCCTATGAAGCTGTGAACTCTTCAGTAGATTAATGTGCTGATTGGGGCAGCACCCTCCTGATCCAGTCACCTCTCTAGGGCCCCACCTCTGAATATGGCTGCACTTCAGATGAAGCCTTCAGTACATGAGTCTTTGGAGGACCCTTCGTACTTAAGTCATAACGTCTGAGGGTTTGTATATTTGTAATTTAAATATTTAGGTTTTATGATTTTAGTACTTGTCAAGTAAATTTCTAAGTTTGTAGATATTTATAGGTATAATGTCTCCATCTAGTCTTACTGGCAATGCAAAGCAGAATTTTTTCAGGATTGATGATATTTTAATACCAGAATCTTTAAGGTTGCAGAGGCTATGGCCAACTTTTGCAGAATGTTATATTTCTGCTCTTATTATGTAAGGGAATTACAGCATAGTAATTTTAGTGTACCTTACCACACAAAATAAGGTTTGGGCTGACAAGGCTAATGGGATTCCAATGGGCAGTTGGCAAGACTGAGTATACTTCTGGCTTTTGTCTAAATTAGTCCTTAGTCTGTCTCTATTAATTAACTGAAAAACTGCTTGGTTTTGGGTGAAATAAGATGAATAAAATCTGGTCTGGCCCATGGCATAATAATTAGCTATGGGGAAATACATCCTAAGTGGTTCTTGGACAATCTTTATAGTTGGATAGCAGTACCAAAAAAAAAAAAAAAAAAAAAAGGGCCGGGGAGATGGCTCAGTGGAATAAGCGCTTCCCTGGCAAGTGCAAAGGCCTGAGTTCAATCCCTGGTTCCTCAAAAAACAAAACAAAAAAACCCACACATACAAAGATTGATGTGTAGCGCTTTCAGTAAAGCTAGGTGATGAGCTGACAAATCAGTCTTCCTTATGTTGGTTTCTAATGAGTAGAAAGAAAGGCACTGTGTGACAGGTGCTAGATACCAGAAGCCCTGCTTAGGCAGCTCCTATTCACTGGAGAGCTAAAATTTAGGGTTTCATCATGACTGCAGTTAACCCACTGTGTGGACTAGAGAAGCTCGAGCCTTTTATCCCAGCAAACTGAAAAGTGAAGGGTCCCTCGCTGAGAAGCAAACACTGGACATTATTTCAACAGGATAAAATGAGAAGGCTTGGACCAAGCTGGCAGACGTGGAACACAAGAATATGAGAAAGCCACAATTATTTCTGAACATTTGTAGGCCATGCCTCTTTTCTAAAAAGTTTAGGAAAATTCAGTGTAAAGATGAGCAGTAGAAAATGCTAAATCTTGTAGCAGGTTGTCAAAATGTATGAATGCTCTAAGATGTAGGAAAGATCTGAACAGGAAAGGGTATTTGTGGACACATTTGACCTGGGCCCACTTTATTAATAGAGAAACCAGAGCACTACTAGTTCTTTTTTCATGTTCTTGGTCAGCTTCATTTTGCCCTTGTATATGCTGTGTTAGGTAAGATCATGGAAAGGGAAGAGGTTATAAAGCCATTAATTAGTCATTTAGGAGGGGAAAAGGACAAGACACTTGAAAGTGATCATTCCTTGTAAGGTTTCTGAGCCACTTGCCTTGTACTTGGACATTTCCCATCATCTCTCGTTCATCTTTTCCTGGTCAGGCTACTGAGTTCCTCACTTAAAATCACTGCCATCGTTCTGCAGGTAGGTCCCCAACTCTTGATCATGCTTTCTCTCATCCCATATCCAATTACTTCCTTCAAGTAGGTACTGTATTTTATAAATGGCACTCAGAGAAAGCCTCTCATACTTGTCTCCACCATGTCACCACCTGGAGGAAGCAGACCTGTATTTTCCTGAACTTAGAATGGTGTCCAAAACATAGACATCGCAGTATTAATTGAATTAATAAATGATTGTAAACTTTCTCCACTTTAAACATATCAGATAAGTCAGTAAGCAGGCACAATTTTGTTTTTGTGATAGGATTCAGGCTGGCGTGAGCATTATTAGCCTAACCGGGGCTCCAATTTACCAATCCTAATATGCGTCACCACATTCTGCTATGAATGAATTTTAAAACGGCAAAGCTGCAAACCTCTAGTCGCTTAGGCATTTCTTAGAGTTCGCTAAATGACCAATAAATCGCGACTCTTTGGCGGGGCAGTTTAACTTTAGAGGGCGAACCTGGTGTATGTGTGCGTGGGGCAGGATACTTCATCGCTTACCCATCACAGTTGTCCATAGTGTTCGGGTAACGTGGGGCATACAACTCAATTTTAACTATCCCTGGGAAACCTTTAATGCGCTTTCTGCGCGTGCGTCTACGCCCTTGTCGTATCCTGCCCACCTGCTTCCTGTTATTTTCTATTGGTTGTTCCGCAGGAAGCCCGCCCTTGAGGGTGGTGAAACCCACTGGACATCGTGCAGCAGCCAATCAGGAGAAGCAGTTTTCAGTTTTGTCCAATGGGGTAGGGTTTGGCTTAAGGCCCGCGGATTTTAATTTTCCGTCCTGGAATGCGGAAGCCATGAGCTAGGCTGGTAGAGTCTGCTCCGGACTTGTTACTGTACCTTCTTCTGAGTCACTCAGGCTGAGTGCAGTGCTACAGGTTGGCGCTCCGGGCAGACAGGTCCTTCGCTTGGGCGGTAGTTACTGCCTGTAGCCTTACAGCCCGAGGTGCGCAGGCGGCGCGGGGTTGAAATCTGCGCTTCCTCAGCCCTCGCGCACGCTGGAATTCTCCACCGGAGGGTGGTTCGGAGACCCACTTCTGTAACGCCCTCCACTTCGTGATCCGGTGGTTGCCTGAGGATTTGTTCTGGAGAAAGGTGAGCTGTAGTGCCAGTGACACCAGCGGGGTGACTTTAAGTTTTGTGGCTTCTTGGGTTCGTGTTTATCCTTGTCTTTAAAACGGGAGGCTGAGGTGGGATAGCCTTGCGTTCGAGGCCAGCCTGGGCTACATAGTGACTTCAAGGACAGTCTAACTACATAGCGAGACCTTGTCTAAAAAACAACAACAACAAAAAAACCCCCAACCAACTAAAAATCAAGGGATGGTACTTGGGAACGAGACCCTGTCTAAAAACAAAACAAAACAAAACAAAACAAACAAAAAACACCAAGGGAACGCGAGGGATGGTACTTCGCCCTGTTCCTGAAAAAGAGCTACTCTTCATCTTGTTAAAGCTTGGAGTTAGACTCCTCGCCCTCCCCCGCACTCCCCGCCTGGGTTCTCTCCGCTTCCTTCAGAGTAACGCCGACCAGGGGAAATTAGTTGGTGGTGTAAAAAATAATGAAAGAGATCTTCTAGGTTAGTTAACATAATTTATGTGCGCATATTTGTCAAGAGTAATATGTTCCAAAATTTTCCCCAAAGGTACGAAGAAACTGATGATATTTCTCTAAATTTGCGTTCTCAATGTCTCTCCTGTTGAATATCTTACGAGAAACGCTAGCGTATTTTGGTGTGCCCATAGACCAGGTAAATGTCTTTTAATGGATTTGGATGAATCTGCTTTCTTTTTGGGTTTCATTTTAAAAATGATTCATATGCATCTTAAGGCCCAGTTATTACTTTGGGTGGGACAAATGTTCTCAATAGTACAGTTTCAGTAATTTGAGGCAAGGGTAGGAGGGATGAAGTAGATTGTTGGTAGCACAAGCCTGTAATCCTAGGACTCCAGGGGGCTGAGACAGGAGGATAAAACCTTGGAGCCCAGCCTGGACAATTTGGCACCTTAGCAAGGACCTGTCTAAAACAATGAGAGGGGGAGATGGCTCAGTGGTCTAAAGCACCTACTTAGAACAAGCTTCACAAAGCACAGGGAACACGGTTCAATCTCCCAGCACCACATGCCAGCCAGCCCCGCCCCCTGGTGGGCTGAGCTGGCCACAAATAAATAAATAAAATTAAAAAAAAAAAATAAAACAGTGAGAGGGCTGAAGATATAGTCAGTGTAGAGTCCTGGTTTCAGTCCCCAGACTGTAAAAAAAGGTGTGTGTAGGATAGGGATTATTAACCTGTTCACCTTCCAGGTCAAATGCTGACAAAAGATTCAAGGGAAGGGCTGGTGAGATGGCTCAGTGGTCTAAATCACCTACTTAGAACAAGCTAAGCAAAAGCACAGGGAACACGGTTCAATCTCCCAGCACCACATGCCAGCCAGCCCCGCCCCCTGGTGGGCTGAACTGGCCACACACACACACACACACAAAATAAAGAAAGAAAGAAAGAAAGAAAAAAAAGTTTAAAAAAAAAAAAAAGATTCAAGGGAAGCAAAATAAAAATAAAGATGTAACCTTCACAGAAATGAATTTATTACATAGATAAATAAAACTTTAAGTTAATTTATGAACGTTTGATGTTTGAGCAGAGTATAGTAACTTATATTCAGCGAATCCAAAATATATGTGAGGGTGAGAGGGTGATGTGGGCCTGAGAATTATAAACAAGTCCAGTTTTATCTACTTGTGTAGACAAAAAAGAGTGTTCTTGGTTCTGCAGATGATAGAGGAACAATCATTGGATGTGGTACTCATGAAGTTTAAAATATGAGAAACAAATGTAACTATGAGATTGACTATAAGAAAGACATAAACTAGTATGTGTGCTTACAAAATGGGCAAGTCATCTGTTTGATGAGATGAATTAGAAGATGGTCAAACAATGCTAAGATTTTAAACCAAAGTAAGTTGAATGATGATGCCATTACTATAGGCAACTCACTCTGAGCAGTGACTGAGTAGGGAGATAAGGTGAGCCAGAGGTAGTGTTGGAATACATAATAGAAATACCTGGCAGCCAATTAGATATATAGTTAGGGAGGATAGGAGAAAAGGAGATTCAGATTTGGCAGTTTTATGCATTGTTATTTGAAGCCATAGATTTTGATGACATAACGGGAGATGTCATTAGATGTTATTGAAGCATTTCAAATTTCAGTACTAGGCTGGAGATGAGTAGTGAATAGCAGTTGAAGATTTGCTTATCATTGGTACTTTCATGAATTTCTATAGGTAGAGTTAGGACTAAATTGGAGTAGTTTGAAGAATGTGAGGAAGGGAGGCAGCATCAGCAATGTTCTTTGGAAAAGTTTTCTTTTTTCTTTCTCTTTTGGTGGAACCAGGGATTGAACTCAGACCCTTGTGCTTGCCAGGCAAGCACATATTCTACTGAGCTATCTCCCCCATCCTCGGTTTTGTTTTTGTTTTTCAACAGTGCAGGAATTTGAATCAAGGACCTACCTGTACATGCTGGACAAGTGCTCTACCACTGAGCTAAACCTTACAACTTCATTCTTTTAAAAAAGATAAATATTAATAAAGTTTAATTCTTTAGAGAAAATAATTAAGAGTATGCAGTACTATATTTTCTTTTTAAGAAATGCAATTGCATCTTTTACATCTTTTTAGATACATAAATTTATGTTTAATTGAAGTATATTTTAAGTGAAGCCTTGTTTTTAAATAGATATTGCTGATTTGGAAAAGTAAGGACTATGGATCATATCGGAGTATTGTGCGTATTATTGGGAAAATGCTTCCTTTAGAACCCTGTCGAAGACCTAATTTTGAGGTGAGTCAGTCACCATGCAGCAAGTTGTTTATAAATTAATCCTAGGTATTCCTAGGGAGTTAGAATATCTAACAACAAGCAAGAAATATTTCCTACAAGCTAATAACCATGAGTTTATCCCAGAAACAAGTTGTTTCACATATTTTTTTTCTCTGAATATTTATATTCAGAAGTGAACAGATACAAGGGACACGTGAAGACCTTATTTTGCTTGTTTTAATTTTTTTTGGTACTGGGGTTTGAACTCACTACCTTGTGCTTGCTAGGCAGGTGCTTTATGCTGCTGATTTATCTCCCTGGCTTGTTTTATTTTTTTTTCTGTTTGGTAACAGATATGATTAACCAGGGGAGAGAATATTGCTATGCACTCAAATATGGGCTAATGTTTTTGTCAGTTATTTTTTCTTGCTAACAGGTGCATATTTTTGTACTGAATATTCTTTCTCTTCTCTCTTTTGGATTATTAACTTAATTAATACCATGGGGCGTGGGGTACATGTCTTCCCTGACTTCCTACAGAGCTCTGATTTTTTTCTTTTTTTACTTTTAGTTGATCCTGCCCTTGAACTCTGTAGAGTCTGATAATTGTGGCTCTATAGTTCCATCTTTTGCTGATGTTTTGTCTGTGGCAAATGATGAAGAAGCCAGTTGTCTTAGATTTCGGTAATTTTTATGCTTTTCTTGAAAAGTGGGATATGGGCCATTACCTGAATTCTTGCATGTTGAAGTTTGTTCCTATTGCTTGTGCTCTTCTGTTGTTCTCTCTGTCTTTGTATGTGCTGTGTCATACTAATATCCTCCTAATAAGGGTGACTTTCTCATTTTTAAGCCAGTTTTTCTTACTAGACATTGAAGCCTAGCATTATGTATGAAGGCAGAGAGTTAAAGCAGTGTCAGAGTCATTATTTTTATTGTGTGTTTCGTACTAAAACATTGTCATTTCTATGAAATACTGTAATGCTACATTTTATTTAGCCAAAATTTACACAGGGCTTACAGTACACAAGACAGTGATGTTAACTATACAGTAGGGCCTCCTTATTTCTGAGAGTTCTTTATGGTCTCTATATCCATGGGCTCCACATTCATGGATTCAGCCAACTGTGGATCAGAAATATTTATTAAAAAAAGTCCTAGAAGTTCCAAAGAGCAAAACTTAAAGTTTTTGTGCTCCAAGTACTACACTGAAACCACGAGAATGAAGTGATGGCTGGACGTTGTATTAGGAATTCTGAGTAATCTAGAGACGATTTAAAGTGTGCAGGAGGCTATAGCCATTGCCCCGCCATTTACATAAGGGATTTGAGCATTCTTGGATTTTACTGTTGTGTGGGGACCCACCCTGGAACCAGTCCCTGATGGACAACTGTCTTTTTACTTCTGGTAGATACTGCTAGGGAGCACCCCCCTTCATGTTGTTATCTTCTGTGTGTACTTTAAGAACAGTGAGTGTCAGTTATTGAGATCTTTTCATTAAATGTATTATGTGTCAGACTCTTTATCAATTTTCAAAAAGTTAGATCATAAACTTACCCCTAGTTAACATAATCCTGAATATAAAGCCTTTTAGTGCCCTATGTCAAATTTTTAAATAAACTTACACAGTATTTATTTTTTGTTTTAGGTACATTTTTATTTTAAAACTTACATATGATCAATTCATCCATTTTAAGAGAACTATTTTTTTTTTTTTTTGTGGAACCAGGTATTTGAACTCAGACCCTTGCACTTGCCAGGGAAGCACTTATTCTACTGAGCCATCTCCCCGGCCCCAACAATTGGTGTTGAGAGATGTGTATATTTATGTAACCTCTACCCCACCAAGATTTGAAAAATAAATCTTAGAAGCTCAGTTATTTGCCATTGATGCATTTTATTGCCTTTATTTTTATGAGTCCTATTTGAAATACAGATAAAAGAAAGTTAATCTTGAAACCTTTTACACAGTATTTAAAGTTAATGGATAGAACAGTTCTAGGACGGTTGAGCATTTTTGTCTTGCTCTCTGTGAGCAAGGCTTGTTCTTTTCATTGCCCGGCTTCAGAACTGTCTGTTAGCAGCTGCGTTCTGTTCTGTATGCTGAAAACACAAAGCTAAGCAAGAAGTGTTTGTCCTCGGTGTGCCCGCACAGACACAGGGAATAACTGCAATTTTATTTTATCTTGTCTTTTGTGAAAGATTTTGTTTTTTTTCTAATTGGAAGTTTCTGTCTTTCTCTGTCCCTCTTCCACCTATAGAAGTTGCATATGGAAAAATGAAGAAGAGAAAATTAAAACTTTCCATCCTTTGCAAGCAGCTTGGGATCCACTGTCATCTGCTCGAAGACAGAACAAACCAGTGAAAAACGATCTGCCTGTAGATGAGGCTGCAATGAAGAAAATAGCTGCCCTCGAGAATGAGCTCAGTCTTCTGCGCTCTCAGATTGCTGCAGTTGTGGAAATGCAGCACGGGAGGAAAGGCCCAAAGGCTGGTAAGTGTCCTGCTGGATTCCTGTTCCAGCTGGATGATACTCATCTGGTATGCGGGTCTGTGTAGGCTGAGTAAGAGCTAAGTACAGCATGTGTTTGATGTTTTTTCAGAGTAAATCAAGACATAGTTATAGTAAAGGTGTTAGCTTTGGCGTAAAGAGCTATTGTGCTTTTGTGGTATTAAATAGACTTGTCTTGTAAGTAATCTTTCCTAGGTCTTCAGAAAAGCAGTGGTGAATGAAGAGGAAGGATGGATTGGGTGGAAAGAGAGTAGGTTTGAGGTCTCATATTTACAGATGTTAGTTAATTGCTGCTTCATGTCCACTGATTTAAGAGGATAATATTTTCCACTTGATCCTTTCTTACATTTTTTACAGATGTAATTTGCTTTAAACATAATATTTTAAGCAATATAGTGCAAGCATTTTTGGTTTTTTGGTACCGGGGATCAAACTCCAGTCCTTGCACTTTGCCAGGCAGGTGCTTGTGCCACTACTTTCACAACAGATTATTAAGTCATGAGCTGTCAGTAAATATGTAAAACATTATATAATCCCTAAACATGTAATTTATGCAAGTAATATGTATATATTTAAAATATATGTAATTTATATAAATATATAATAATGAAATGATATACACGATTTTTTGTTCTTCACCATGTTTACCCAGTTTTTCAGGAGTAAATCTGTTGTGAAGAAGTTAAATACCTTGTACCTATCTTAGATGCTTGCCTAGAAAATAATATGCTTGTTTGCCTAGTGTCATAAGAGAGTGGATACAACAGTTTCATTATTTCTTACTACAAATTATTGACCATGTTTTAGCTTTTTAAAATGGAGAATGAGATTCAGATTTTATATGAATTACTGGAGAATTCTTCATTCCCTGTAAAATACATGATGTGGTTTATACAGTATCTGAATGTCTCTTCAAAGGCTTCACATACACAAGGGGGTTTTTGAAAGATGAATGAGTCTAGCTTGCTGTCAGAGGATGGGACCTGCCCACGAGAGGTGGGGTTGCTGAGGGCTGACAAGAGGTGGGCCTTCCAGGACAGCCCCCCGACCTTGCTATTTCTGTGGTCAAGCCCTGGGAATGTGGCCTGAAACCTCCAAAAATCATGAGCCAGAGTAAAGCTGGACTTTTTTGGGGCTGCTCAGGATTTTTTTTTGGGCCACTCAGGATGAGCCAGAGTAAATCTTTCCTTCTCTAAGTTGTGGGAAGAATGTGGGAATTAGGTTCCAGTGACAGGAACGTGATGGGCCTATGCTGAGAATTAACTTCTCTTTCTCTTTCTCTCTCTCTCATATTTTTTGCCTTTAAAAAGTTTCATTATTATTATTATTTCTTTTTTTTTTTTTTCCTTTTCAAAGTTTTATTGATAAACATATAGCAATGAGACAGTTTCAAATCAAATCGAAAGTATTATTATTATTTCTTGGCTAGCTCAGGTTGCCTTAAAGGGGGTTCAGGTAAGGCATGTGGAGCTGGGGATCGAACTGCGGTCCCCTGCGCCTGACTGGGTTTGCCCAAGCAGGTGCTTAAACAACTGAGCTAACCTGCAAGACCCCCCCATTTTAAAAATGTTATACCTTTTAGCTATGCATAATGATGACATTCATCATAGGAAATCTGTACATAATATATCTTGCATTTTGTTTTTTTTCCCATTTGTCTCTCCTTCAATTCCTCTTCCCCTCCTGATTTACAAAAGGTTTGTTTCCATCTTTTCCTTTTTCAAATCCCTTTTTTCCTTTCCCCCTCTGCCTTCTTTTGTTCTCCTTCACATTTGACCATTTTCTTCCCATTTCTTAGTATCTGTTATACATTTTGATCCTTAGTTACACTTTTGGTTTCTCACACATGAGAAACAATGTGGTATTTCAACATGTGTGTCCGATTTATTTCACTTAAGTGTATGGTCTCAAGGTCCAGTCATTTAGCCGTAATATCTCAAGCTTATCTTTCATTATGGTAGCATAGTACTCCATTATATATAAAACAAATACTTTTTATCCATTCACAGTTGATGGGCATTTGGGCTGTTTCCAAGATTTAACTACTACAATAAGTGCCCTTATAAACATGGATGTGCATATATCTCTATGGCGTGATGCTTTTAATTCTTTTGTGACGATGCCAAGAAGGGGAATAGCTAGGTCTGTTGGAACCTCTTTTTTAAAAATTTATTATTATTATTATTTTTAATGTATTTGGTTACAGGGTCTCACTAAGCAGCTCAGGCTCTAGTGGTCCTCCTGGTTTCAGCCTCCCCAGCCTTGGGTTACAAGTGTATGTCACCATGCCTGGTGGTGCAGCATGGGTGCTGGGGACCCCATCCCTGTGCTTGCCCAAGCAGGCAGTTAGTTTGCTGAGTTATCTCGCTGGTCCTAGTTTTAGTGTTTTGATTCCTCCCCTCCCCCAACAGATTTCCACAGTCTACACTCCCTCCAGCAGTGGAGAAAGGTTCTTTTTTCCCAAGAGGCCCACCAGTATTTATTATTGGTTGATTTCTTGATAATCACCATTCTTTTTGGAATAAGATGGAATCTCAGCATTGTTTTATTTTGCATCTCTCAAATGACCAATGATCTTTAATATTTTTTCATATATTTGCCATTTTTACTACTTCTGAGAAGTATCTCTTCATTTCAGATGCCCATTTTTGAGTTGGTTCTTTAAATTTGGAGGATCTGAAAAAACAAAATTGGAGGGTCTGATTTTTTGAATTCTTTATTTGTTCTAGGTATTAGTCCTTTGAGGAGCAGCTGGCAAAAATATTTTTTTAATTTATAGGTCATCTCTTCAATCTGTTGATTTCTGTTGTTCAAAAGCTTTGTAATAAAATGAGATCTGAGTTGTTGATTTTTGAGGTATTTCCTATGTGTTAAGTTTTGTTCATAAAATCTGTTTGCACTAATGTCTTTAAAGGTTCTACCTATTCTCTTCCAGGAGATTTCATATGTCTGTTTTAATATTTAGATCTTTGATCCATTTTAACTTTAGTACATGGTGAAAGATATGGATATAGTTTTATTTTATTTTATTTTTGTATATAGTTTTAATTTTCAGCATATGGAAAGCTAGTTTTTCCAGCAGCATTTATTAAACAGGCTTTCCTTCAGTGAAGGAGTTTGGTTCCTTTGTCAAAGATAAGGTAACTGAGGATGTTTGGAGTTGTTTGTGCACCCTTTAATCTGTTCTGTTGATCTTCAGGTCTTTTTTTTTTTTTTTTTTTTTGGCAAGTGTCATGCTTTTTAAAAATTTTATTCACAGTAGCTTTGTAATATAACTTCAGGTCAGGGTGATTGTGATGCACCCTGCCTTGCCTTTGTTGCTCAGAATTGTTTTTTGCTATTCTAGGTCTCTTCTGGTTCCAAATGAATGTTAGAATTGTTTCCTCTAATTCTGTAAGATATGTTATTGGTATTTTGATCAGGATTGCATTAAATCTGTATAGCAACTTTGGGAGTATGGCCATTTTCACTATATTTGTTCTTCCTACCAAAGAACAAGGGATATCTTTCTTTCTTTTTTTTAATTTTGTGCAGGGTCTCACTACACAGCTTGAACTTGTACCACTTGAGAGAGTCTGGGTGGTTTTTGTATTGTTACACTTCATTGACCCCCGTGTTTGCCTTTGGTGAGCTAGAATTCTGGAGTTGCATCTTTCTTAAGTATCCTTTCTTTCTTTTTTTTTTTTTTTTTAATAGTTTAATTCCTTGGTTGATGCCTATAAACTGTTTATGACAAGTAGCTTTATCTCTTGACTTTAGAACTCGTAGGAAATGGCTTCTCAGGGATGTCTTTCAGGTGTAGGTAGTTGCCTCTTTTTTTTTTTTTTTTTTTTTATGTATTTGGTATAGGATCTCATTATGCACTTGGACTCATAGTGATTCTCCTGTTTCAGCCTCCCCAGTGTGTTCCACCACACTTGGTCTTAGTAGCCCGGCTCTGTGTGCCTGGGGTGGGGCTGGCATGGCACGTGGTACTGGGGATTGAACCCTGGTGCTTGCGCTTGCCTAGCAGTTTAGACTGCTGAGCTATCTCTGCGGGCCCGCCTTTTATGTTTTGAGTCTTGTTGCAAGATGCCTACTTCTACAGTATATTGGGAATGAGAAGTTGCTGCCTGTTTGACTTTGTTAGTTCCTGGTTCCTATAGTTTTTATGACCTTTGGGCAATCTCAGTCTTAGCATACTGGGAAGAATTACTTATTAAAATAGTTATGTCACCTTGGCAAAAGTAGTACAGCCCACAGATCAGTACCATCAAATACAACATAAAAAATGACAAACTGTGATAACTGTTAATTTGCCACCTATGTTAACTAAATTTGTGATTATGTATTAAAATCTAAAACAAACTAGAAAATTGTATAGTAAGTATAATAATGTTAGTATGGTGATTCCTCCCTAACTTCAGTTTTTTTCCCCTAGGGAATTGAAGTTAAGGGGGAAATAGGAAGAAAACAGGGAAAGGAGTTAGAAGGAAAGGAGTTAGGGGGAAAATAGAGAAATAGAAGAAGTGGAAGAGATTAGAAGCAAGGCTGGAAGACAGGTTTATATAAACTTTGGGAAAGTGCTGAAGAAGACAGGTAGGGAAAGAGAGAAGGAAGAAATAAAACCAAGAGTACAGAACAGTGACAACAAAGACACAAGAAACAGTATTCATACTCATGTAAAAACAAGAACAAACAAGAAAAAAGAAAATAAGAAAAAAATGTCAGAGCTGGCCAGATAGCTCAGTGGACTAAAGCACCTACTTAGACAAGTGCTAGAGGACCTGGGTTTGATCTCCATGCCATGCGGACCCTGTCTCTGGGGTACACTGAAATTGCAAATGAGACTGGGTATGGTGGTACATACCTGTAATCCAGCACTTGGGAAGCTGATAACAGGAGGCTCACAACGAGTTTGATCTGTGCAGTGAGACCCTGTATACCCTGTACTAAATATATTTTAAAAAAGAAAGAAAAAATGTCTAAGGTGTATGTTTGCTGTTGCTGGGAGACAGAGTGAGCAAACAGTCCAGATCTGTTCATTAACCCTAGCAAACCAGCTATAGGTTTATGGTGGGGTATCAGATCCCAGCAGTCCAGCACCTTTAGTTCCATTGAAATTCAGGCTGGTTTTTTTTGCTGAGGTTAGAACCTGACTTGTTTATCCTGTCACACTTTGCCTCCTGCTGGCCTGAACTTGGTTCTTAGACCTCTTGCGAACTTGAACTGGGTTCCACCTCGCCCTGACACTGGGAACTGCTAGGTGGAGCTGGCTCACAGTGGCTCTGTTCTGCATTCAGTTAGTCCCTCTCCAGGGTGGCTACCAGCCCGTCGCTGTCTCCTGGGGGATGTGTGAACCTAAATAATTCACCAGCCACAGAAATCCAGTATGTCTACTGTTCTGTGCACTGGTGTGTGTCTCCCTGAAGACCTTGGGGAAGCCAGTGGTCACCATGTATCTGCAGGTTCAAGGTGCCCCTCCTGTACAGTGAGTCAGGGCTTGGAGAGAAAATGCCTTCATCTCCTCCTCCATCTCCACTGAAGTCTCTCTTCACTCTCCCTGTGGATTCCAATTCTTGCTTTAGATCCTTCTTGTGTTCCAGGGTCCCACTTTCCTCCCCTCCTCTTCCTCTTGTTCCTATGCCAGGATACCAAATCTTGGGGAGGTTCTTGGTCTGCTGTTCACCACTCTACTATCTTCCTAGAAGTCCAAGAATTTCTAATTAGATTAAAATGAATTTACAGTTTCAACTTGAGAAACAGGTAAGCAGATGGGATTATTGCTCCCTCCTGGCTAGTATGTCACAGTTGCAGCAGCGTTATAGAAATTGTTTTGTTCTGGTTCTCACTAGTGTTATACATGATGCTAGAATTTTGCCTATTTTTTTTTTTTTTTTCTTTCAACAAACAACTTTTGTTTTTAGGCTCCTTGGGTTTGAACGATGTGCCCAGTGGTATGGGACAAATTTCACCATCAGACTCCACTCAGCTATGTGTAGAACCAAGTCCAAGCTCAGCGCCTGCTGCTCCTCCTCCACCGCCACTTCCTCCTCAGTTTCTTCCTCTCCAGCCTTCATGTTTTCTTCCCTTACAACAAGAATCTACAGTTTGTCACTCAGATAATCCAGCTACCAAAATGAAAAAGCAGCACTCAGGTGCTAGGAAGATGAATTATAGTCTTCATTCAAAAAGCCAGAGAAATAAAGATGTTCCAAATATGTTAGATGTTCTGAAGGATCTGAATAAAGTTAAACTTCGTGCTATTCAGCGGTATGTTGTCATAATTTGAGAAGCAAATTGAAATTTTGTGAATGATGTTTTTTAGAATTTATGTTTATGAAAGCTGACAAAGTTTTTTTTGTATTTTAGGGAAGGGTCTACAGGGTGTTCAGGGTCTCACTACTAGATCAGACTTGTAGTGATCCGCCTGTTTACAACCTCCCAAGAGCTGGGATTACAGGCAGGTGCCACCACACCCAGTCTCAATTATCTCAGCATGCACCAGGGGTGGGGCTGGCATGGCAGGCCAGGGGATCGAACTCCTGGCCCCTGTGCCTGCTTGCAGGCACTTTAATCTGCTGAGCTATTTGGCCAGCCCAGATATTTTCTTTCTTATTACTCCTCATTCCCAATGCCCTTCCCAGAGATAAATCACTCTGAGTTCTTTTTGCAATTATTATTATTTTTTTTAGTGTATTTACTAGAGGGTTTATAGTCCCATACACAGATGGGACTCGTAGTGATCCTTTCTGTTTTTCAGCCTCCCATGCACTGGGATTACAGGCACATACCACCATGCCCAGTCTCATTTGCTGACTCAGCGTGCCCCAGGGGCAGGACTGATACAGTAGGCTGGGGATCAAAACCCCAACCCCTGCATCTGCCTAAGCAGGTGCTTTAATCTGCTGAGCTATTTGGCCGGCCCTCTCAGTTCTTTTTGGCCATTTTTTCTGTTGCATTTCTATAATTTTGAAGCATCTCTTGTTGTATTTTGTAATTATATATTTCCCTATTGTAAAATATTAGAAATACTGTATTTTATCCACCATTTTATTTCCTGTGGTTTTAGTTACCTATGTTCAACTGTAGTCTGAAAATATTAAATATAATTTTCAATAATTTGAGTTGTAAATTGTGAGCTGTTTTGAACAGTATCATGAATAAGCGTTCAGTTAAGATAAAATGAGTCAATGATTGAGTAAACAAACAATAGTCTTATGGTTTTCTTTTATGATCTCTAGTTTTTTTGGAAGTTCTTAAATATTTCTTTAAAAATTTCTACCCCCCAGAAAATTAGAAAATTAAAAATAGGGCTTTTCTGCATAGCAATATTTGAGAATTTCCAAGTCAGAGAAAAATTGTGGTAGAGCCTCATCTCTCAGGATTTCTTGGTTTTCTGTTTCTGAAATTATTGTGCCTGACAGATGCCTTATTTCATGGTAGAAACCTGTTCAAGACTAATTATAATATGTTATGCCTTTGTGCTTGCTGTGCCTGTTGAAAAGGCGGTGACATTACATCAGAGCTTTAATTCCATGTTTTGTTTTTAAAACAACAGGTCACCTGGCGGTAGACCTGTTCACAAGAGGAAAAGGCAGAGTGCTCTTTGGGATCCTGTGTCTGTAATATCACAGGCACTTAAGAAGAAATTTGCATTTCAAGAAGAAGATTCCTCTGACAAAGAAAACAGATCATGGGAGTCTTCTCCATTTTCTAGCCCAGAAACTTCCAGGGTGAGCTATAGCATTTGATATAAATAGCTTTTAAGGTTTTCTCAATTGTGCTTTTCCTGGCATTTTACATTCATGTTCTCTTGAACTAAGTATGCAGAATATAGTATAAAGTGCTAATACTATAATAATCCTTCTGTTGTCAGTTTTTCTCATTTTCACTTTTGGCTGATAATGAAATAAAACACTTGATTTGAAGACTGTGTGCATGAAGTTATAATAGTTTATCCTGCAGAGTGCTAACTTGGTGTTGTCTGTAGTATAAGCTGGGTGTCTGGGTGTCTGACACTCTGAGAAGACCAGGGAAGAACTGGGCAACAGATGCAGCCAGCTGTATCAAACAGGACTGCTTTGGTGGTTCTCACAGTCGTAAAGGCTTGGGATTATTTGGTTGAACAGAATGTTAACTCTGCTTTGGGGACATAGGTATCTCTAATGACAGCACTTACTGGGTGGTTGAAAGGACACACATTTTGGAGGGGAATTTTTCACATCTCATAGTTTAGTTGAGGTTGAACATAAGAATAAGCCTTGGGAATGAGAGAGTTGAAGGGTGATGGTGTCTAAAGTCGGTGGGTAGCATTGAGGCGTGAGACACCAGCAGAGGAGGAGCCTGGAGAACTGCAGTGCACAGGCCACTCCAAGAGCACGGGGGGAAAAATCCTGGTTCCATTCCAGTGTACACAGGCTTGAGGATTGTGTGTTGTGTGTGTGTTCCATATCTGAGGTTTTGTATGATGATTCAGAAAATGATGCTTATTTAACTATATGCAAAGGAGTATGGAGTTTGCTTTAGAACTTTACCATGAAAAATGTAAATGTTTCTAAAATCAACATTTCATTCTGACTTTCAAGTTCTAATGTATAATCCACAAAGTACTTCTTATTTAACCTTTTTGATCTTCAAAGCATTGTCCTGAAAAAGACAAAAAGAATGCTTCTTGTTTTCTCCACAGGGCAAATGAACCTTGTACACATCATCCCTCCTCAGAGACTAGAACTTGGTTTATTAAAATTCTGGAATGTGTGGAAACCCTCTGTTATTCCAAGAAATTTGCTTGGGTGGGACACACTTTCTCAGTGACAGTGTAGCCCCTGGGGCCATGCAGCCTGCAGGACCTCCAGTTGTAGCCAACAGGGCGCTCAGTTTGCGTGGCTGCTCCTGCCAGTTCAGGGGTCCTCTGCCCTGAACTCAGTGCCTGATGGCCCGCTCTCAGGTCACTACTGGTCGCTGAATGAATTCAGCCTCAAGGGGTGCCCTGGTGTAGTTTGGCCATTCTTTTTCTTTTTTTTCTTTTTTTGTTTATTTGTGTGTGTGTGTGTGTGTGTGTGTGTGTGTGTGGCCAGCTCAGCCCACCAGGGGGCGGGGCTGGCTGGCATGTGGTGCTGGGGGATTGAACCGCGGTCCCTGTGCTTTCTTGCTAAGCTTGTTCTAAGTAGGTGCTTTAGACCACTGAGCCATCTCACCAGCCTGCCATTCTTTTTCTACATTCTGGTAATTTCTGTGCCAACATTTGCTTTATTTCAGTTTGGACATCATATCCCGCAGGCAGAGGGGCAGTAATGTAAGTGGAGAACTGAAAAGCACAAAAGCTGTTGGCCAAGGTTGCAAAAGCCGTATCTACGCTTGGAAGGAAAGATGCACACATGTGCTGACCTGTCTCTCGCTGCCTTTCCAAGGGACCCTGTCTTCTCTGAAGGCTGCTGTGGGCCAGAGAGGTCCGTGGCCAGCTCTAGGGAGACTCTTAAGAATACCAGGTTTTGATTTGGAAAGATCCACCAGGTAATTGGCTGCTGAGAAGAGTTAGGGGATGGATCCCCCTCATCTGTTAGTATCCCTGAAAGCTTGCGTATGTACTTCAGTGATTTTTCTGGGGCAATTATGCCTTCCTAATTTAAGAATCTTTAAACCTTTTAAATGCCTATTTGGCCTGCAGTAACTTACAGTTTTTCAAGTAGGATGAGTATAATTTTTCATTATAATTTATAGTGAAAGGTTATAATTTTTCTATCCTCAGTCCCTGTTGTAATCATCTGTGGTTGAGCATGCTAAAGCTTGTTCCTGAGGTCTTAGAATTGGAGTCCAAGGTGCTGTAAAGGCTGCCCGTGTTGCTGCGTGAGCACACGTGGCTGACGTGTCTGCTTTGGACCTTGGCACATCCTTACCTCCCTTCCTTTGTAAATAGGTTGTACAATAAATGTGCCTTTGCAACTTACATTGTCTTTTCATTTTCTTTTTGTTTATGTCTATTTGGTTTTTTATGTTTTCTAATTCATGTTTGCAGTACATAATGAATACTCAGCTTATGTTTTGTATCAGTTGAAGTGTATATTTTTCTCACTGTTTCATAGAGGCTGAGTGAGGGAATTCTGTAGTTAGTTTTTTGTGAAGGAGAAATGAAAAGCACCTAGGTTTTAGTAAGTAGTGGCTTACAGAAATGTGCATGTTGCACTGCATAGTGGCCAAGGAGCATGCAGCCATTAGCGGGTCAGCACCCACCCTTCAGCCAGGTGCTTCACATTCAGATACCAGGCTGCCCACCGTTTTCGTGCTGCTGTGGGGAGGATTGTTCCTGCCCCCTTCAATTCATTCCCAGCGTCCACCGCTTCCCTATATCCGCAGGACTAGTCATACATCTGTGTCTGTCTATCTCTGTGTGTGTGTGTGTGTGTATTCTTTTTTTTTTTTTTTTTTTTTCCCAGTACTGGGCATTGAACTCTGGGCTTTTGCACTGAGCTATGTCCCAGTTTTGTTTAATTGTCCTGGTTGTGTTTGAACTTGTGATCCTTCTGCCTCTATGCTTATGTCAGAGTGCTGAGATTACAGGTTTATACCACCACCCAGCAGTTATGACCATGAGGGAGAGGTATTTAAGGCAGTTTACAAGGGTAGGTAAAGCACAGATAAACAGCTTCAACAACAAACAGGGGACCGGGGAGATAGCTCAATAGAATAAGTGCTTCCCTGGCAAGCGCAAGGGCCTGAGTTCAATCCCCGGTTCCACCAAAAAAAATCCAACAAAAAACAAGAAACGGGAAGGAAAAATCTTAAAGATGAAGTTTTCTGTGTTTACCACATGAGGGCAGTGTAACATCAAGTGCACCCAGGCTGATGATGATCTTACCTCTTTGGATGACAAGTTTTTAGGAATTATAGCAAAGCAGGATTGGATTAAATATTAATTGCAAAATCAGCTTACTCTAAAGAACATGTATCAGTTAAAAGTAACTATCTCCTTGATGGATCTGAAATTACTCATCACTAATCCACTTTTTTCTCCAGCAAATAAATACTCTAAAACTAAGTGATGAAAGCAATGGATAGTAGTCTTTAATTGTTAAACTTCAAGACTGCAAATTCTTCACCTGAGTACAACCATTTATTGTACTCCTACAGAAAAAAAAGATCTATTTGTGCTTATGTGGTTACAATTTTTGCTTGTATCTTAGTAAAGATTGGTATTTTTAAGTGGTGCAGTTTGCAGTATTATCTTGAGACAGGCTCTTGCAATGCACTATAGACTGGCACTGAACACACCACGTAGTCTAGGCTGGTCTTGAACTCTCAACATTCCTCCTGCCTCAGCCTTCCAAGTGCTGGGATTGTAGGCGTGCGCTACCACACTGGGCTCAGGTCATCTTACTTGGATGTTTCCTCCCTCTGTGTTAGCCCAACATCTTCCCAAGCAGACATTAGCTGGTCAAAAGCTGATCATGTCTTGGGGTATTAGCAGTTTCAGACCCAGGTTACTGGGGTGTGGCATTGTGGTGGGTGGGGACCTGGAGCTAGTATGGCAGGATTTTCCCCTCAGTGGTACCCGACTCTGTTCTGTGGTTTCAGCCTTTGGCATCTGCCTGTTCCCCTCACTTTGGAACCCTCATCTCCCCTCTGGGTTGAGGTTTCCAGCTTTGCCCTGAACAGCTGCTGACAGGGGTTCTGTGCTAGCACCCCCCCCTCCCCGCCCACTGCTTTCTGCCTTTTGTAATCTTGCTATCTGTGGTCAGATGGTGGTAATTAACTGCTAAATTCAATAAACATTTGATTTGTGCTAGCCACAGAGCTAGGCACTTTATAGCGTTAATTTGTGAAGTATTCCTAACCTGTGACAGAGGTGTAATCATGCTCCCCTTTTACAGAAAAAACCCTGAAAAACTGAGAGGCAAGTGTTCTCTCCAAGATTCCTAAGGTGGGCTCCTTGGGATAAGACAAAGCCTTCCAGGGGCTGGTCTTGCTTCTCTGGCTTCAGCTCAGCCAGCACCTGACCTCCCCACCTCAGACCAACTTGTTGGCTTCACCGTGTCTTGGGGATTGCTGTTTCTGCCATGTGGGAAATCCTACTCCTACTCTTTCAAGACAGTGTGAAGAGTTTCTCTCTCAGAAACCTTTCCCTAGTCCTGCTCCCTCAACAGCAGACTGGACAGCTCTCCACACAAAAGCACATACTGCTGTCTGTTTCTGGACATATGGCACTTAACATTGTGCCTAGGTCTGTTCCTCTCCTGGGTTCTTTTGAGCAATTTGAGGATAGGAACTGAGTCTTATACATCAAATTTCTTCAGCTATCCAAACAAAACTCAAAGCCAGCAATTGGGGCGTACTTCATTGTGTTGAGAATGGTATTAAGTTCTAGCATCCTGGAAGCTGAGATGGGGATTTCAAGTTTGTGCCCAGACTGGGCAACCTAACAAATGTCTGTCAAAGAAAAAAGAAGCAGGACTGGTGAGATGGCTCAGTGGTCTAAAGCACCCACTTAGAACACGCTAAGCTTAAGCAAAGCACAGGGACCACGGTTCAATCCCCCAGCACCACATGCCAGCCAGCCCCGCCCCCTGGTGGGCTGAGCTGGCCACACACAAAATAAATAAATTAAAAAGAAAAAAGAAAAAAGAAGCAAAAGGGATGTGGCTTAGTGTGAAAGGCCCTGGAAATCCCCAGTGACCCCCTCAGTGATGCAGATACATAGTTTATCTCATCTGTAGTTTAAGCACAACCATTGGAAAAAGATGTTATTACAGTAGCCACAACCTTCAGACGAAGAAAAAGGAGTGATAGCATCAGCCGGTCTAAGGGCATTTGCTGCTAAGTGGAGGAGTTGAGACTGGACTGGGGACCTGATGACTTTAGAGCCTATGTGCGTGTCTTTTAGACTGTGTCTTCTGTTGATATGTGGGATGGAAAAGACTTATAAGTATATTTCATTAGAATGGCAACCATTATTAGCAACAGACTTAATCCAGTAGCATAGAGACTAGCTCAGGTGAACTGCTCAAGATCACAGAGCTAGAAGGTGTCAGAGCTGGGGTTTAATCCAGGCAGATTGAGGCCAAGGACTTTGCTCCCAATTCTCTTGGCCCTGGTTTGAAGTGAAGGAGCTCTGCAAGACCTGGCATCTTTAGCTAGGTCTGTCAGCCCAGAACCATTGACGCCTGAACCATTCAGTGGGTGGGGTGGCTGTAGGGCTCTAGCTGGGACTTCTGCTGGGCCTGGACATTTCTCCTCTCTACTAGGTTTGTGTTCCCTGCATGTGCCATGAAAGAGCCTGCCCAAGAATTGCCTGAGTTTTTGAGAAACTACTTCAGTAAGAGTAGTTATTTCTCCTTTGAGCTTGAAATTGATTTTTGGAAATAGCCAAGTAGTTACCAAACTTGATGACTGAGTAGATGAACAAACTCAGTGATGTCAAGAGTGGTTATGAATGAGGTATGACTTTCACGTAACTCAAGTGATTTTCTTGCATTGTAATTTGGTTCTGAAGGCATTTCCTAAGGACTGGTCCAGAAGTATTTTCTGCGGTGAGTACAGTGGCTGTGTTACACAAAGACAGTGCTTATTTATTCTATTTTATTTATTTTTGTGTGGTGCTAGGGATAAAACCCAGAGACTCATGCATGCCAGAGAAGAGTTATATCCCCAGCATACTAAGCTGCCTTCCTAGCCCACAATATGCATTTATTTTATTTTTTATTTTTTGTATTTAGTATAGGATCTACAGGGGCTTACTATACAGATCAGACTTGTAGTGATTCTCCTGTTTTCAACCTCCCAAGCTTTGGGATTACAGGCATGTGCCATCACGCCTAGTGTCAGTTGCAGTCTCAGCACACCCTGGGGGTGGGGCCAGCATGGCATGCCAGAGATTGAGCCCTGGTCCCTGCATCTGCCTAAGCAGGGGCTTTAGTCTGCTGAGCTATCTGGCAGGTCCCACAATATGCATTTAAATGCTAGAATTTCTGTTAAGAGTGCTAATAAAGCAATCATAGAACCTTAAAAATTACAAATATATTTTATGGTTTATTTTAACCAGACAGTGTTTGGATTCAAAGAATTGAAGTTAATTTTAATAGATAGGTGAAATTTTGAATCAAGATAAAAATATTTTTGGTTAGACCAAAAGCAGGCTAGTTTAACTAAAGCTACTGAAATACTGCATAGTAAATACAGCAGTTTTCCTATGTTTGTTAAGAGGTACATGAGACTTTTATACCCATCTCTTCTTTTTTTAAAATGTATTTGGTACAGGGCACACTACACAGCTCAGACTCCTAATGATCCTCCTGTTTTCAGCCTCCTCAGCACTGGGATTACAGGTGTGCACCACCGTGACACCTGGACTCAGTGACTGGCTCAGTGGCCTGGGTTCGGGGCTGGTATGGCATGTGTGTTGAACTTCGAACCCTGTTTCCTGCACTTGCCTAAGTAGGTGCTTAGTCTGCTGAGCTGTCTTGCAGGCCCACCTTCTGTTATTTTCTGTTCAGTATTACCACCAAATTTAGTCACTAAATAAGGTTTGCACATTCATTTTTCTTCCTTTAATGGCGCATGCTTGCTGTTGGGAATCCTTAATTTCGTAAATTGTTGACACTGCTGAAAATTGGTGTGGACTAAGGACTAGATTTTACTGACTTTTACCAGTTCTTGAGGATTTTCCTTAGTAGTGGCTTTGTGGAACATTAGACTCATAGTCTACGTGAATCTTCACCTCGCATTTGCCTCCTTCCACTTGATTTCAGATCCATAGTTTTAGGCAGGTGTATTAAGATGATGTCACATTCTTCATTGCTGCTGTTTGTCTCCTTTTCTCCTATTGAGAAGTCACAGGGAAAGGCTGGGTGAGAATGCGGGTGGGCGAGGGCGCCTGGACAGCCACCCCCTGAGCTGACCCTCTTAGCCATGCCTTTCACTGCCATGGGCCTCAGTTTCCTTCCAGTAAGTGATGCCTTTGAAAAAAAACCCAATACGTACATGATATAAAAATGTGCATTTCTGTGTTTTTTGAGACAAGACCTTACTATGTGTAGGCTGACCTCAAACTTGCAATCCTGCCCGACTCCTGAGTGCTTGGTTAATTCATAGAATCTTAATGATCTGCAAGGACAATGAGCCACAAAACCCTTCTATTTCATATTGTGCCTGCAATATCTTAATTATACTAGCTTGTTCTTTTTGGTAAAAAATGAGAAGGAAATGTGAATTATATTTTGGCATGTATGAATTCATTGATACTACCAACACTGCACAGATCCTTACAAGAGTTTGCACTTGTCAGCTGTGTGTATGTAAGTAGGACACTGGGTGAGCTTTACCTGTAACAGTGTCTCTGGCATCCAAGAAATGCCTGACTCCAAAACACCTGCTGAATTCTAGTAACAACGCTAGATACAAAATAAAACATCTTTAAATTTCGCCCATACTGCAGCTCTCACCTTGGTTTATGATTACCAAATAACTAATTAAGATTTCTTTATTTAAAATCTACCCAATTGGGGCCGGGGAGATGGCTCAGTGGAATAAGTGCTTCCCCGGCAAGCGCAAGGGCCTGAGTTCAATCCCCAGTTCCGCCAAAAACAAAAAACAAAAACAAAAACAAAAACCGAAAAAATAAAATCTACCCAATTGGGTTGGTTTAGAACCTGAACTATTTTCTTATGGTTTTCCACTCCAAGACACCTAGCTAGTATATATTTTGAAGATCAAAATGATCTTTGCTTTGACTGTATACTATTTTTCAGAAGTTTTCTCTGCTTTGCAAAGTTTTGTGACTTATTTAAAAAATACTTTGTAGTAAGATACATGTATTTTCTCTGACTGTGAGGAATGTAAAGATGCGGACTTTAAATGAAAATGTCAGGATGGTTTCTGGAAATTCTAAAGGGAAATTTATTCAGATAATCATGTTAATCCCAACTATAATAGAACAAACTTGATGTACACCATGAGGAAAATGAAGATGCCTAAACAAAGACTCCTCTCAAAACAGACAGACAATGAAATATATATAAGTTGAGGTTATAATAGCAGAAGTAGTATGTGCACATAAGAGGTGTGTTCCCTTGTGCTTTGAGAACTTAGAGGATAGACTAGTGTATCCGTTTGGGAGTACACACAGAAATTGGCAATGGAGAATTTTAACCAGGATGTTGAGGGTGTCAAGATGTTATATTTCATAGGAATTGATGCCATTTAATGTATGTGATTTGGAAGAAGAGATGGATGGGAGATGAGGTAGTGCTCATTCCAAGAGGGGTGGGTCTAAGGTATTACTTCCATTACTAGTGGAAGCATTAAGTTTGTGGGTGGAAGTCAAGATAAAACAGAAGGAGGCTCAGAGTTGGGAAGGGGTCGGCCTAGAGCTGATGCGTTGTAGGCTATGAGCCTCTTGTCTGGATTTTCCTGAGGGGTCCTTTGCTATTCAAAGACTAAATATGTGCTCATTGATGATGGGGGCAGAGTGATTTAGGACTGTGCCCCATGAGTGAAGGGATTTGGTTGTAACTCCATGGCCCCATGACCTGGTTTTGACATTAATTTGTGTCTTGTTTGGAATAGTCAGTTATATTGAGTGATGTTATTTATAATAGTAATGATAAGTTTATTTGACAGGTGCTTAAAATATAAGATGTGCTTATTCAGTTGTAATAAAAAATAAAGGTAAGCTTACCAAAAATACTTCTATCTAGAAAAGTCAAAGGGTAAGAGGAAATACAGTAGTACCTCCTTATCAGTGAGTTTCCCTTTCTGTTGTTTCAATTATCCAAGACTAATTCTTATTTGAAAGTATTAAATGGAAAATTCCAGAAGTAAACAAGTTTTAAAACTTTTATTATAGTATATTGTTATAATTATTCTATATTATTTATAATCATTTATTGTTATCTCTCACTGTTCCTAATTCATAAATTAAACTTTCTCACAGATATATATAGAAAAAATTGTATGTATAGAATTTGGCATTATTTGCATTCCTGTGCATCCACTGGGGGTCTCGCAACAAATCTTTTGAGGGTACAGGGAGACTTAAGTGTACTCTGATTATGTTGTATGGAACTCCTGGAGTGCTATTGATGAGGTTTTTCTTTAATTTAGTCGGCAGCATTGCTGTATTTTGAAAAGTGACTTCAAGAACATGGCATTATACTTCTTTTTAGACAACCTCCCCTTGAAGGGTCTTTTTTTTTTTTTTTAATATTCTGTATTTAGGGCAGGGTTTACAGGGTGTTCAGGGTCTCACTACGTAGATTGAACTTGTAGTAATTTTCCTGCTTACAGTCTCCCAAGTGCTGGGATTACGGGCGTGCGTGCTCCATCATGCCCAGTATGATCGCTGTGTCAGCTTGCCCGGGGGGCGGGGCCAGCATGGCACACCTGGGATTGAACCCCAGCCACTGCGCTGTGCTTGAAAGGTCTTTTATTCATTTTAATTTTTTACTTTTTAAGTGGCCTTTGAGTAAAAGAAGCAAAATTACCCCCTTTTTCCTTTGTTAGGCTCTATTTGGAAGTACACATAGGAATAAAATAAAAATGGAACAATATGTAGTTTTATATTTATTAACAGGAACTGAATTATTATTTTTTTTTTAATTTTTTATTTATTTGTGTGTGTGTGTGTGTGTGTGTGTGTGTGGCCAGCTCAGCCCACCAGGGGGCGGGGCTGGCTGGCATGTGGTGCTGGGGGATTGAACCGTGGTCCCTGTGCTTTGCTAAGCTTGTTCTAAGTAGGTGCTTTAGACCACTGAGCCATCTCACCAGCCCGCAACTGAATTATTGATGTGGTAAACTTATGTGATGTCCAAAAATTGTGTATTTTAGCTATTTTTCTTGGAGGAAATTTTTCTGTATTTTCTGAATATGCATATCCTGTCCTTCTTAGATATATTACCTCATACAGTGCTCACACTGACCTCAGAGGGTTCATATCATTATCAGCTCATTTTATGGATAGAGACCCTGATCTTGAGAGTTGGAGTCTGGGGGGGAAGCTGTGTTCTGTTCAGGTAACAGGCTTAAGTTCCTTGTGGAAGCGAGTCTCACATTCCAGACTGAGGAATGGAGCATGAGCAGGGGTCGGCTGAAAAGGCTGGGGTGTAGCTGTGGTAGAACCACTTGTCCAGCCCTAGGGTCAGTCCTCAGTGCAGTAGGTGAGGGGTGGTGAGGGAAGGTACACTAGAAGAGCAGAAGTAAAAGGGTGACAATGTGGCTTATGAAATATGATCTGCCTATTTAGATATCAGCTGTAGCCAGAGCATGTGCTGCTGGAGAAAGCCAGCCTTACAAGTGCCTAGTTGTGTACTCTGTAGAATGGACATAATCAGAAAATAGGGTCTTCCTCATCTCTGTCAGCATTAGTTATCTGAGGTGTATTTTTTTTTAAATGTATCCGTTACTTTTTTTTTTGTAAAAAATGGTTTATCAACTCCATCTTTGTATAAAACACATGGGAGAAACCCAGCCAATCACCACACAGCTGTATCCACGTGAAAAGTACTTTGTCAAACTTGGTGTCTAAGAACAGACCAATGTTTGTTTATGTCTACAGCATTGTCTATGCATTTCCTTTCATTGCTTTTAAAAATACCACGTGTCCCCACTGATGTCTTCTGTCCAAGTGACAGTACAAGGACCAGGCAGTGGAGGGCAGGTGACAACCCTAAGCGGTTTTCTGCTGTCCCTTCTTTCCAGTCAGAGATTTGTGAATGTGAGGAATCACACCACTGCCAGCTGTAGTCGCCTTGATGAGGGAATCCAATTCTTCATCTCTGCGGACAGTGAGCTGCAAGTGACGTGGAGTGAGGCCCTTGACTCTGAGAGCCTTCCATGTATTCCCTGCCAGCTCCAGCACCTCAGCAGGGAGGTACTCTGGGACTGCAGTGGCACCCACTCATCCGTGGCTGGTAGTGCATGTCTTCAGATATCTGAGGATGCAGCCCACAGGAAACTGCAGCCCAGCTCTCTGTGAGGGTGACACGGCCTTGGCCTTGCCACTGTCCTTCCCGGCTTTGCCTCCAGCCGTGGTCTCGGCCACCTCTGCCTCCACTGGGCTGCATCACCACCCCCTGCCACCCTGCTCTGCTGCAGCTGCTCTCGCAGCACAGACAGCTGCTGGCGGAACTGGGCAATACCCTGGGCCCACCTTGCGCGGCTGCCTGTATCTGTTACTTAATTATAAGGTTCTTAGTAAGAAATTTTGGATACTAATTTATGAGGATAGATTCCATTTTTTTTTTAAATTTTATTCATTTATTTGTGTGTGTGTGTGTGTGTGTGTGTGGCCAGCTCAGTCCACCAGGGGGCGCGGCTGGCTGGCATGTGGTGCTGGGGGATTGAACCGTGGTCCCTGTGCTCTGCCAAGCTTGTTCTAAGTAGGTGCTTTAGACCACTGAGCCATTTCACCAGCCCCAATAGATTCCATTTGTTAGAGCAAAACATCACAGGAAGCCCTGGAGCTGAGGAACAGCTTTGATTTTTGCTAAAATTTGTGAGTCCATCGCTTTTTGTGCTGCTCTGAAATCTGGCATCTCTCTTTCTCAGTGTCAAAGATCTCACCCTCCTGGTATCTGGGTTTCTGAAACTTCTTGAAGTAAACATCAGTGAGGTGTTTTGGGATTTTCACTTTGCTGATACCAATTTTTGTGAAGGTGGTAATGACAAATTTCTGGTATGTTCTTCATAGAGGTACACGATTAAGGCTAAGAGGCCCTGTCACAAGTAGCAAGCCACTGGCCAACTGCCTGAGGAAGACCACTCTCTTGCCTCTGTGACGCCCAGTGAGGATCATCAAGATGGTGCCGGGAGTGATGCTAGCTCGAAGTTTCCTCACATGCTGACTAAAGGGTTTCTTGCTGTGGCTCAAGAGCTTTCAGGGCACATCTTCAGTAGGGTAGGATGTAGGCATTTTTTGAAGATTAACCACCTGGGTACCTCCCAGGTGACTGGTTTTGTAATTGTAGCAAGAACTTTCTCCTTTTTCTTCTCAACCTTTGATTTAGCAGCTGTGTACTTTCTCTTGTACAAAGCCTTTCTGGAATACATAGCAGATTGGGAGTATCTACCAATTCCTCTAACCAGGGCAGGATTTTGGCTACAGCGGGGCTGCCCCTTCATGGACTTCTTTGCCTTCACCTTACCTTTTTTACCAGCAGCCTTCTTGGCTTTGGGTTTCTTCTCCTTAGTGTCTGGTGTCTCAGTTTTTTCCCCTGCCGTCTTGCAAGATGGGAAAGAGTTGAGGTGTATTCTTATATTTTACTATTTCATTGACATACTCTAAATATCTTCATTTGTTACCACACAGTGTCCATGTCCACGGCTTCTAATGATTATTCACAGAAGTTATATACTTTTATGTATGTATTCTTCCCTAAATGTTTAGGAATTTTTAAAACCAGTTTTAAATTTCATGTCTAGTTTCCTCAGTTTATTTTATTTTATTTAACTGAGTTATTTATTTATTTATTTATTTATTTATTTATTTATTTATTGTGGCCAGCTCAGCCCGCCCTTAGGGCAAGGCTGATGGGGCATGTGGTGCTGGGGATAGAACTGTAGTCCCTGTGCCTGCCTAAGCAGGTGCTTTAGACTGCTGAGCTATTTCACCAACCCTCCTCAGTTTATTTTAAAATTTCAATTTTAAATTTTACTTTTTAAGAGTTGCACTGAGTTCACAGGCACATGTAAAACTGCAAGTATAACAAGAACATTTGTAGCTGCTGCCCACCCCAGTCCAGTCCTCAGAGGCTACTGTGGTGATAAGGTGCCCCTGTTTCCTTCTTGATGTGGTCTAGGCATGCGCTGTGTGGACCTCTGTGTCTCCTTGTTTTTGTGGTGTGAGAATTCATGCAAGGCTATAGTGCTAGTGTTCTGCCTGGGGCTTCTGCCACTTAGTGGCAAAAGTAGGTCTTCTCCGCAAGGTGCCTACCCACTTGCTGAGCCCCCCAGAGCTGTGAGAAGTCAGCTTTATGGACTCCGGCTGTGTGTGGTTACCTGGTAACAGACCTAACTAGCTGCTTGTTGATGGAAATGTGCGTTATTCTTGTACAACTACAACTGGGTGTGTGGTAACTGCATGAACAATTGTATATCAAGTCCCTTTAGGTGCACTTGTGTGTAGAAAGTGCACGTACACATCCACACTGGTGAAGTTGGTGGTGGAGCCAGCCACGTGCACAACTGGCTTGCTTTGAGGTACTTAAGCGGAGGGGACTGTCAGGGAGCATTAGAAAGGGTGGCAGCATAGTCTGGCCCTCCAACATCGTCTCACCAGGTTTTACTGATCCTGACAACAATGATTTAATCCCTGAGTTCTCATATTCTTTTTGTTTAAATACGGAAATTGGAAAAAATAACAGCTCTCACTCCATGAGTGTTTTTTTTTTTTTTTTTTATTGTTTTGTAACTCAATTTTTTTTTTTTTTTTATTGTTTGTCCATGTTGTCTAAGCATCTTGCAGTGCTTATTAAAGAATAAGAGGTGGGCCAGCCAAGTAGGTCAGCAGGTTAAAGCACCTGCAGGCAGGTATAGGGGCCGGGGGTTTGATCCCTGGGCCTGCTGTGCAAGCCCCGCCCCCAGGGTGCCCTGAGATGGCAATTGAAACTGGACATGGTGGTGTGTGCCTGTAATCCTAACTCTTGGGAGGGAGGCTGTAAACAGGCAGATCGCTATGAGTGTAATCTAGTAGTGAAACCCTGAACACCCTGTAGACCTTTCCCTAAAATTAAAAAAAAAAAAAAAGAAAAAGAGGGCCAGGGACAACTCTTTCTCCCTGTAATTTCTCTTCCTTACTCCAAAGGTCAGCAGTGTTTGGCACAGTGTGAGTGTTGGGGGAGGGGGGTTGGGGGCACTGCGGAAAGCCACTGCTCTGGGGCTGGGAGTGCAGGGATAGAGCCTGCCTAGCATGGGAGAGGCCCTGGCCTTGATCCCTGGTACCTGGAAATAAAATGCAGCAAAAAACCCAACTGTTCTTTTCTCATCTCTCTGGTGTTTTAACATATGCAAAACTCTTACCTTGGTTATTGCTGAATAGATTTTTTTTTTTTTTTTTTTTTTGTGGAACTGGGGATTGAACTCAGGCCCTTGTGCTTACCAGGCTTATTCTACTGAACTAGCTCCCTGGTTCCTATTGCTGAATAGAGATTCATTCCTATCTTCTTTGTCTTTCTCATCCAGTAGCTGGAGTTCTGGGAACCTTAGGAGGCCCGAGAAGTTACCTCCCAGGCCCTTTGGATGTCAGCAGTGTGTAGGGCCGGGTGTTCAGAAGTGGACTGGCATTTGAATTGAGTTCTCGTTCAGCTTCTGTGTCATTTGCTGCTTGTAGTGGTTGATACATTGTGTCAACTTGGCC